GCAAAAATATTGGTTTACCTCGAGATTATCTAACAAACCAATTGCAACTTCTTATAAATATTAAAAATTCATTATCAATTATCAACGTCCATACAAATTAATACATATAAATTTATAGAAATTACAACTCCATAATATCATTGATAAAAATTAAAACGGACCGGTTAAATAATCTATTAATTATTTCATAACAACACATGTAACTCGATAATTCAATAAAGTTTCAACAATTTACAAACAAATATAATTTTACAAAATCTAAAACAAACCATAACAAGTATAAAATTATATATTCATATACTATAAGTTTGTTTGAGAAATAACAATAAAACATATACATATACTAACAAAATACATGTACTAGAAAAACAATAAAATTAACATTTAAATGTTAAAATTTTAAAAGATAGAATTACTTATAAAAACTGATAAAATCAATCGATAAATCAGAACATGAAACTTCAAGAAATATGACTTGTTGTGCTAAGAAGATGGAGATTTTTGTTGGGGGGTTGGTTGTTTGCAGTAGGTGAGAGTTGGGATAGGGAAGAATAAGGAGAAATAGGGAAGGAGATGGTCGGTAGAGTGGGCATATATTAACTTTTATCGACGGACTCACTAATGAAATTATTTCGTCTGTGATTCCATCAGCTATTTTGACGGTAAATAGGCATGTCACTGTATACAGATTTCAGTTTGAATCCTTCAGTGATTCCGTTAACATTTCAAACTGTCACATCACCATACGGAGCTGCCGTTTGAATCCCTTGGTGAGTTCGTTAGTAAAATCACCTGGAAAAATCTCTATGTCAGCCAACCATCTTTTTTTAATTCTAAATATTTTATCTGTCATTCCGTCGGTAATACCAACTGAATATGTTCGTCGGTATATACCAATGAAATGATGAATGGAAAAAATTTCATCAGTAATTGTTACCTCAAATTACCGATAAAAGTATTTCGTCGATAAGGTCGTTGGTATTAAGTGAATTTCTGGTAGTGGCTCTTAAGTTTGGCGTTATAGCCAGACCCACTTAAACTTATGTTTGGTAAGTTTAATATTCTTACTAATATAATAACAATAACAACAACACAACAACAATAATAATAATAATTAATTTTTTAAAAAATATTATTAACATTAAAAAACAACTATATGTTTTATTTGAAGAGTAAAATTCAAAATTATTATGATTATCATTATCATCAATAAACGTTTTCAAAAAAATGATTACTATTGAAGAAAAAGCACAAATTTAATTTGAAGGGATTAAAAACTATAAGAACTTGGATTAGATAATAATAATAATATTATTATTATTTAAAAAATATTATCACAATCAAAGAAAAAACATAAATTTTATTTAAAGAGATTAAATATTATAAAAACTTAGATCATACAAGTTTAATATTATTATTATATTCATTAATATTATTAAATTTGAAAATAAGTATTATTATTATATAAAAAATAGATTTGATTTGAAAGTTAAAATCAATTATTGTTGTCGTTGTTATTGTAATAATAATAATAATGATAAATAGGTTTAGCTGAGGTGTCAAATCTAGGTAATGTGGGTCTAGTAGGGTGCTAGATCCAAGTTTTTATTATTATTATTATTATTATTATTATTATTATTATTAAAAATATTATTATTATTGAAGAAAAATTATAAATTTGATTTCAAGGAATAAAAAGCTATAAGAACTTAGAATAAGTTTAATATTATTATTAATATTAAAAATATTATTATTCGTATTATAAATATTACTATTAGTATTATAATTAATATTATAAATATTATTATTGATTTATTATACCAACCAGACCTAACACCTTTGGATTTGACTTTGTAACCAAACCCAAAATTTTTGAATTTTAATGTTTTTTGATATTTTTTATGAAAAATATAATTTATCATGGATCACCTAACTAGTTATACCTAGAATGACAATATAGGTCATATTCATAATATATATATATATATATATATATGTATGTTTGAATTATGTTTGTATATTGAATGATAAAATTATAAATATTATATATGTATATGTGTGTGTATTATATCAATATTAAGATATGTATACATTATTTTAAATTAAAAATAAATAAGTTCTACTTATATATCTATATATTACAAATATATATCTCGAGATAAGTTTAAGTCAAGTTTTTGATTAAGTTTATCAATATTTATATCATATGTATTATCCATAAAGTAAGATAATTATAAAAAAAAATACTAACTTATTTAGGTTGGTATTCATAGAGTTCGGGTTAAATTGACATTCCTAATTATATCTTCTTTTTTACTGTTCAAATATTTTATATTTTAATTTATTTATAAATAAATTTGAATATATCAAATAAAAAACATTTTATTATGAAAATGTGAATAATTTTATAAACA